TATATATATATATATATATATATATATATATATATATATGTATATATCAAAAATATATCAAAAATGCATATGGGTACTCAAATGAAAGCTCTTGATGAGACTAACATCAGGATGAGCTTATATCTTTAAAATATACACTATATATATGAAAAATACATAAAAATGCATTTTTATTAACAGATGTTGATCCCAGCAAGTGCCGAAGACTTACGAATAAGCGGCAAGATGAGTCCCTCCGTAAACTTAGACTTGGAGAACAAGTCAGTCCAAGTAAAAGTCCCGGTGGTAGCAACGGTAATCCAAATAATCGATGACTCAGGAAATTCAACCTACAAAGTAGAGCCTCCTTCAGACTCGGAGCCAGAACCAGGTAAGCCTCAAAAAAATCTTAACTCCATAATCCTCAACCTTAATCCTTTCCAACCTCCTAATTGCATGCAGATGAACTTTCTTCCGGGGATAATTTGCAATTGGAAGCGAGTGAATTGATAGAGTCCTCACAAGCGAGCCGCAGCAGCTCGATGAATGATTGCAATGAATTGCTTGAACTTGCAGCACAAGGGGGAATTCAATTTGTCCGAGCGACCGAGGATGGCCGGTATGAAGTTATGAGTAACAGCGAAGCACGCGACCTAATGGAGCAGAATTCGCACGACGTAACGATACTGGATGGCGCCGAGGCCGAGGCTATTAACATATTCAACGCCAGGAACTCGTCCCAGGGTCAGATTGCCGACGATGCTATCGATAACCAGATAATGGTGCTGGACGCCGGAGCGCCCCAGAAGCCGATGCTGGTGGATGATATTGAAATTCACGACGACAAGGACATCAGGATCCTCGACTCCAAGAGCTTCGCTGCAGAGATGGCCTTCTTTGGAGGTAACAAATTAAATGATTTTATCTTCGGTAACAAGCCCATGGGATTCGACTCTGGAATTTCTATGATCAACGCCGACGACGATGGTAAGTCTTTAAATCTATTTTTCGTATTTTCAATTCTTAGCTCATAAATTTTAATTAAATTTTTTTTTGCCGCGCTTTGAGGTGTACCTTGAACTTTCCAATAGCTATAACTCCTAAACTACTCGCCCGATTTTTTTACTTTTTAAAAAAATTATTATAAAATAGCGTCCCCTAGGTCCCTGCAAAAAATCAATTAAAAAATCCCGTTTTATAATGATAATAAATTATATTTCTTTTTAAAAAAATTCATAATCATACTGTGATTAATTACGTTTATAAAAAATGTCAATAATTAAGAAATGACGTTGTATCTTGGAAACTATTGACATTTTTAAAGATATAAGCTCATCCTGATGTTATACTCATCGAGACCTTTCATTTGAGTAGCCACATGCATTTTTGATATATTTTTCATATATACACATATATATAATATATATCCCTACAATAAAAATACATGACAGTTTGAAGTTAGTCAATAGTCGAAAAAATGGGACCTGATTCCTTATTGGTAGAATATAAACCCTCCTCAGTTACTATTGGTCAATCTCCTAGTACGTGAACATATCAATATATCGATATAAATCGAACAGAATAAATTCATTCTAGAATTCCGATAGGGGGCACGCGAATGCGCGCCGTTAAAAATTCTAGTAAATATATAAAATATATGGAAAAATTCATGTGGGTATTCAAATGAAAGCTCTCGATAAGTGTAACAACAAGATGAGTTTATATTTAAAAAAAATATCAATAATAATTAAGAAATGACGTTGTATTTTGTAAACTATTGATATTTTTAAAGATATAAGCTCATCCTGATGTTACACTCATCAAGAGCTTTCATTTGAGTACCCACACGCATTTTGATATATTTTTTATATATTCATATATA